CTCGTATTCGCGGTCGTATTTTCCGGGTTCGCCCCGGCACGACAATAAATAAATAAAAATCGCATTAACCGCGGCGGCGAATAAAAATACATTTGACGTGGATCACTGAGGGATTTCCGTTGCGCGGCGCGAATTCGCCGCGTTTCGCGTTCGGTAATCCCATTTGCGTTTTGTCATATCGGGGAGCGAGGGGCGGACGGGTTTGAAGAGGAGAGCGGAAATAAAAAAAACTAAAAAAAAAAAAAAAAAATATCGGACGACACGTTAAAAAAAAATAAAAAAAATAAAATAAATAACAATAAAAACGAAAACAAAATATACCTCCGAATGCCTCCCGCGCAAACGACGACATTAAAAGTATTAAAAAACGTTAACTCGCTTAGCCCACCCTCCCTCCCCTTTTCCGTTATTACTACGCGTATTTTTATTATTCTTGTTTTTTTTTTTTTTTTTTTTTTTTTTTTTTTTTTTTTTTATCGTTTTTATTATTATTAATATATTATAAAACGGTCAGAACGACATTATTTCTCATTTTACCGCGCGTGAATTATTATATTCCTCGAGCCGAGGGAATAATATTCCGCGAACGTAGGTGTGTGTGCGTGTATATATATCGTATACACGTACCGCAGTATACATTACGTAATATTATATCCTAAGCGATTATGTATACATACACCACCGCAGTATCACCTAAAATTATGCGAAAATACACGCGCGCGCGCACACACACACACACACACACACACAGATATGATATTATTACATAGGATAGCGCAGACTATTAAATTTAAAGATATTTTCGTTAACTCTGTTTTTTTTTCCGTCCAGATTTGTTTGACCGAACCGTTACATCGATTTGTATTATATTGTTATTTGACTTTACTGATAAATACACAAAAATAACAAAAAAATATGTAGTGCTTATAGTATATAAGATTATACGCGGAATATAATATTCACGAGTGTGTATACGCCTCTTATTTTTTATTAAACACGTATACCATTTATAATATGTACACATGTAAAAAAATGTTACAATAAGCAAACAGGTGAACAGAAATAAGATATTTGACATGGTAACGGGAGCAGAGGAGCTATCCAGTGATAGGACCGTTTTGCCACGTTTTAGCTAGAAATTTGATACGGACCATTTTTAAACTAAGGACCGCGGCACCAACGTCTTTTAAGACGGCGAGGAGGGTTGTCAGGAATTGTGGCTGTGTGTTGGTTTGCGAATAGTGGATTAGGATGAAAACTTTTTATTGTGTGTTTTAATTAAATCGACAACTGAATCGAAAATTAGGTCTGTATGAAGGGAAAGATTCGAAAAGTACCAAAAAACAGACGTGATTATACAAAAGGAGATCGATTGGAAAGCTTGAATTTGATTTCAGCTGCAGCGTTGGTTTGGCACAGCCCCATTTTGGGCTCCATAAGACCAAATTGATTTTAAAATTGACTTATAGATAATTAATTTGTTATGAAGTGAAAGTTTGACTTTTAGTAGAGGACGTAATAAATACGATCTAGTATTCAGTACCTTTTTTTTAGATTTGAGTTGAGTACCCCAGATTAGGTTATGTTAGGTTAAGACCCCAGGTATTCTATATTTTTATCTAAGGTAATACTCAAATATTCAACTTGAGTCTAGGAGGAGATAGGGACTCCTTGGAGAGAGAGAATAGGCATATTTTATACATTTAATTAGGTATCCTGCCGACACCTACTCGTCACTGGGTCGGTATATCCGATTTCACCGAGGAGGGACGCTGTAATAGCAACTAAAGAACAATAACATATATATCGCATGCGTCTAAAATACTCCTGAACATAGTAAAAACAGACTAAGAGAAAAGACAGAACCGAGTAGCAGTTCCGTTTGGGTTCCGGAAAGGACTAGGGAAGAAATCCTAGGACTAAGACAGATTTCGGAAAGAAGAATCGAAGTAACACGCGTACGACATTCGTCGATTAACAAAAAGCTTTAAAAGGGGAAGTTTTTTCCGGTATAACTATACTCTCAACAAAAAATAAATTAAACCAATATTCATATACATCCTCAACTTTTTTAGGCCAACCACTTTCCCCATAACCCATAAGTTTCTTTAGCACTTTATATCGGGATTTTGATCGAGGTCTTTGAATATTTAAATTTTACTGAAAATGTATACGACACGGCGACTTCCGAGCGTCTGTCTATCTCCAACCCACAATATTGTACACGATAGATGAGTTTGTTTAATACCTGTTTAACTATTTTAAAACATTTTAAATAATAGTCGGTTTTATTTACTCTATTTATTGTCTTTTGTCCTATAGCTCTAATAGCTAGGTGTTATTGTCGTTTTTTATAATTTATTAAAATTGTTCTTTTGTACACGCCGTTGACACTGGTTGTCATCGAGAGCGTTGGCTCAAATAGCCAGCACAGTTTATGTTTTTTTTTTTTCATTGTCATTCCGTTAACTCAAATATTGTACCGATTTTCCCGTTTTTCCTGCGGTTTCCCCGGTTTTCCCATGTTTTTTTTCCGGTTTTTCACATTTGCTGAGAAAACTCTTGAAAAAACAAAAAATGATCTCTCTAAAAACTTTCTCAGTTAGATTTCCTTTAGGAAAAAGTGCTATTATTGTAAATTGGAGCAAAATTGCTGGAAGAAAAGTTGTGCACAGGAAAAAAAAAGCCGAAATATTTTTCAACTAATACCTACATTTCGTAAATTTTTCCGTTTTTCCCATTTGTTGAGAAAAATCCTGGGAAAACCAATAGATGATCTCTCCAAAGTACCTCCCCACATCAATTTCCTTCATATATATGAATAAACGCTTTTGTAAAACCATATGTTTCTTAGCTCCACTCAGAATCTAACAATGCATTGCCCATTTATAGCAGAAATCAAAAGGAATTGTGTCACTCAATAATTGGTTGCGCCTTGTTTGTTTTGGGGTTTTTTTCCTCTCCCGTCATTCATATTATAGAAAATAGAAAATTGTTCGTTCCGCCTAATTTTCCGGTTATCGTAGCAGTGATAATTATTCCGAAATAGTCATTATTATTATGTAAAGAAAAGTCGAATTAAAAATAAAAAAAAAATAAAAAATGAATAATAATAATAAATACTATTATTATTCGAGGTGACGATTTTTGTTATTGTTTCAATATCTGCGCGTAGGGGTTACTGTTTTTTTTTTTTTTCTGTTATATCCCACACTCCGTTATTATTATTACTATTTTTTTATCTCTTCGAGTATAACGGATACACTCGAGAGATGGAAAAACAAAACACATATAGGACTATAATGTAGGTCTAATAGAATAATAATGCGATGTTTAAAATACGAAGGGCGTTGCTTATAATAATAACAATAATAATAAAGGTTTTGAAAACCCGGCGCGAGCACACACACACACACACACACACACACACAAGTAAACACAATGATATCTATAATAATGATTACGGGTTTAGACGCGGTTTCTCGCGCGGAGGACTTATTTGGCGATTTCACACAGCGCGAACACGAAATATTAAACAAACCGCGGCGCGGCGACGGAGCGAGTATTGTACGATAACATTCGTAGTGTGGCTCGTCTTGTAATTTCAGCCATTAAATCGATAGTTAAAATTTACATATTTAAACAATAACCCAATTGCACGTAGTCTTTTGTCCATTTCATTCCTTTATGATTATTAACGTCGTCGGAAAGGTATAATAGAGAAAGTCGCGCCGAGTTTACACAATTGTTTATTTTGTATGCACGGAAATATATTATATTGTATGGCAGCAAGAGGTAGGTATCAGGTACGGTTATATAATTATTATTGTGTTTCCCGTCCGAGAAGTTTTTACACACCGTCAAATCGATTTGTTAATGAATTTTTATTAATGAACTTTTGACCCATTTCGTTAATAAAACACGATTTTTTCACGAATATAGTACTATCAATTTTAGATTTTTCCTCTTTAGGTAGTGTAATAAACAAAATATCTAAAAAATCGGAAAGGTAGGTTTATACACAAAAATCAAAAAACAGTACGAAAAAGTAGAAATAGAATTCGCTTAAAATTCTCTGAGAAAATGTCTAGTTCATGATAAAAAAAAATGACCTCTCTAAACTACATTTCCTTTCAGAAAAAGTGCTATTATTGTAAATTGGAGCAAAATTACTGGAAGAAAAGTTGTGCACAGGAAAAAAAAAGCCGAAATATTTTTCAACTAATACCTACATTTCGTAAATTTCGCCGTTTAACTATTTATTGAGAAAAATCCCGGGAAAACCAATAGAGTACATTCTCTAAAGTACCTTCCCACAGCGATTTTCTTCATACATATGAATAAACATCTTTGTAAAACCATATGCTTCTTCGCTCTAATCAGAATCTAACAACGAATTGCCCATTTATAGCTGAGATCAAAAGGAATTGTGTCACTCTATAATTCGCTGCGCCTAGTTGGTTTTGGGGTATTTTTCCCTTATGTCATTCATATTATAGGAAATAGACAATTATTCGTTCCGCCTGAAATTTAACAAATACATCTAATGAAACGTAATTATCAATATCTCAGAAAAAGTATTTGAAAAAATAATACGTCCTGGGATAATGGGGACGGTTGCAGCTACCGTTATGTAGGACCTACAAAACTATGTAATGATATGGGAGCTGAACACACATGTTTGTTGTATTACAGTAGTGCACGATGGCTTTCTCGTCGTAATATTTTATTACGTACGTTTGAACTGCGGCAGGAAATATATGTATTTCTTAAAAAAGAAGAACACAAAAACGCCAATGAATTTTCCGACGTCGATTTTTAATGAAATTAGCATATTTGTGTGACATTTTTGAGAAACTGAATGCATTGAATATCTCTTTGCAAGGAAAAAATATGCATATTTTGAAGTCTATGGAAAAAATTACAGCATTTATAAAAAAAAACTCAAATTGTGGAAAAGAAAAATAAATGAAGGTGACAGCAAGGATGCTTTTCCCACAATGCAGCAGTTTTCTAGCTCTAATGAAGCTGACATCTCTCCAGATATGAAATCCATTTTTGAACACCATTTATCACAACTTATAATCTGGTTTGAGAAGTATTTTCAAAATGAAAATATTGGTAAATTGTCATGGATTCAAGATCCATTCAACTTCATTACTCCGACTGATTTTGATTCTATTGAAGAAGAAAGTCTTATCGAGTTGTCTTGTGACAATAGTTTGAAAGCGAAATTTTGTAGAACGGATTTCATACAATTTTGGATTTCAATAAAGGATGAATATTCCCTATTAAGTGATAAAGCACAGCGAATCCTAATTCCGTTTTCAACTTTTAATTTGTGCGAAGCTGGGTTCTCGGCGGTTGCAGTAATAAAAAGCAAGTATCGATCAAAAATAAATGTGGAAAAAGAAACGAGATTGGCTGTATCTACTTTGATTCCAAGATTTGAAAAATTGTGCAGTGATTTGCTAGCGCATCCATCCCATTAATTTGAGACGTTTTCTAAACATTTATAAAATCTTAATAAAATCAAATTTTTAAAATAATTTCTTCGTGATTATAATAAAATAAAAATGTAAAAATTAAATAATATATTTTTTTTTTATTATCCTTAAAATGTTCTATTATTTATTTTATCTAAAAAATATGGTCATAGGTTTTATCGGGGGCGCTTCTTATATCAGCTTTTTCTACAGTATCATTATTTATGTTTGCCAAACAATGAAGAATATCGTCATAACTAATGACTCTTATAAACTCAAAATGACAACGCCACCCAGTTATAACTCGTAACTAAAAATAAAATAATAATAATAATAATAAAGTAAGTTTAAACTAGTATCATTAATGCGAATAGAATTGTTTACGAAAATTGAGACACCATCCGTTTTATTTAAAACACTTAAAGAACGAAAACTGTTATGGCCACCAATACAAATATTTAAATCAACGCTGAGCCAGGTTTCGGTCAAAACGGTTATACCGAATCTATGGGATTGGTTTAGGTGTTTAGGTACACCGAAAGTTCATCAGTATGTAGAGAGCAACAACAGAGATATTACAGCAGGAAAAAGAAAACGCGTTTTAAAATTTAACATTATTTCTAATAAGACTCTCCGTCTTTGTCCGCATTTCAAGATTAAAAGGGTATTTAGTTTCCGCAAATTCAATCCGAAGCGTATTAGACGTGCAATTGGACGGCCCCGAATACGTTTATCGTGTCCGCCGGCTCGCGCGTCGTTCCCGGTCCGCTCCTGTCTGCCCGTGGCAACGACAAGCAAGTCCGGCTCTGTAAATCGCAATCGATTCCCGTGATACGGCGACGTATTAAACGTAGGGCATCAAGACCCGGGCGCATCCGCAATGGGGCCATTCGCGTGTAACGCGTTCCGCCGAGACTTAATACAACACGGTACACTGTATACGCGGCAACAGGCGTAATCTCTAACGCGGCCGCAGCCGTCTCCAATCGCGTTTTCGACGCGGAGTAGTTGTTTTTTAGTTTCGCGCGCCGTACCGAAACGTTACTGTTGTTGTTATTGCGTTGCCGGTTTCTCGAGCGCGCGCGTAACGCGCATATTATTCATTATAAAAATATCGCGTTCCGTTCCGGGCGGACCCGCGTACCCGTTCTTACGAAAAACCAATTTAATTCGCGAGCGAGACACGACGCCGTTGGAACGATACGAAACATTCCCATGGATTCGTTGTTTCCCGTTTCCGCGGCAGACTCCGTACGTTTTTTTTTTTTTGCCGAACGGCGATTCCGCCCGAACAATAATTGCAATATTACAGGCGAACACGGCGAGTTTCCTAAATACCTGTATAGGGTACCGATCTATTATTATTGTTATTAGAGTTTTTTATTCGATACACGTTATTTATACAGACGGGTCGTTCTATTTACGATTGCCGCCACGTTTATTAATATGTCCGGTTAAAATTATTATTTTAATATCTCCGCTCGGTTCGGAAACATCGTATCGTTTTCCTGCGCGCGGTCCGCCGTTGAAATCGGTTACAATATTATAACGCACACGCGTAATAAATCGAAAATATTGACCAATGATTTTAATTAAATTCAACAGGCGTGGCGGCGGCGTTCGGCAAACGTTTAATAAAAAAATAATAACAGTATCCTATACGCGTGATGGTATCCTAGGACCTCGGGTGTGTACCACGGGCGCCCAAACGGATTCCGGTCGAGGGTGAGAAAAACGTAGTGCGATAATAATATATATTATACATTATAATATCAACGTTTATAGGTATACCAGACAATAGTAACGTGTGTATCGATAAAAAAAACGTCCGTAATAACACGAGAACAAATTTCTAATCGTTAAAAAATAAGTGTTATTAAAATTTCTCGCCGCCGCAGTGCGTCATTAATAAATAATAATAATTCGGAAGGCCGGCAGAGGCGGTCCGGTCTCGCGGTTCCACGCGATGGCCTGTACAACGTTGGTTTTTTTTTTTTGTTTTTTTTTTTAAACGCGTCAACGAAATACGTATTAATTTTGTATATGATTAATATTATTACGGGTATGCCGAGCCGACCGTACGCGGGTCAAAAAACTACTGTCCGCCGGACAGCGGATTAATTCGCTGGTCCGTCAACAACAAAAATATAATTGTTAAAAAGCCAGCGCTGGTATTATTCCCCGTTCTGTACTGTTCGCGCACCATTTTTACAAAAATTCAACCGTTAACCGTTTTGTTATAAATATAAAAAGTTATTACATTTTTCGAAACCTCATGGGACACCCTGTATATACTATTTATAAATAATAATATGAATTGATTCAACAATTTTTATTTAATTAATTTATGTAAAATTCAAACAATTGTAGAGGCTTGATTTGTATTTTGTTAATATTTTTAACACCGTCTAAGAATTGTGAAAAAAATAAATTTAAAAAAAAAAGACGTCCTAGGATAATGAGGACGGGTGCAGCCACTGTTACAGGTAATGTATTCCAACGATAAACCATTGCTTACGAAAAAGACGATTTTGAGCAAAGTTCAGTTGATAGTGATGCTTTGTCAATAATATATATGCCATATTGTAGTGAAACAATTAAATAGGCTCTATTGTATATTTTCGTTAATAACATTTGTTAAATATTATACCGATTTCCCCAGTTTTCCAATGATTTTTCCCAGTTTTTCACATTTGATAAGAAAACTCCGAAAAAAACGAAAAACGACCTCTCTAAGTACCTCTACAGTAAAATTTTCTTACAGAAAAAATCGATATCATTAATAGTTGAAACATAATTGTTAGTAGAAATGTTAGTTAAAAAGTTATGAAATAGTTTTCACAAAAAAAAAAAAAAAAACATAATATCATACAAATATATTTTCCCGTTTTTTTTTTCTCGGGTTTTCACATTTGATACGAAAATTCTTGTGAAAATCGAAAAATGATCTCCCTAAATACCTTCCCACATCGATTTCCTTCATATATATGAACAAACATTTTTGTAAAACCACACGCTTCTTCGCTCCACTCAGAATCTAACAACACATTGTTCATTTATAATGATAAATAAATATATATAAATAAAAAGGAATTGTATCACTCGATAATTCGCTGCGCCGTGTTTGGTTTTGGTGTTTTTTCCTCCCATCATTCATATTATAAGAAATAGAAAATTATTCGTTTCGCCTAAACAAGAATAAAATATTAACGTCTCGGAAGAGAAATTTAAAAAAAAAAGGATAATGAGGACAGGTGCAGCCACTGTTATTGATAATTTAATGCATACCTGTAAGCAATGATAAAACATTGCTTACGAAAATACGATCCTGAGCGGAATTCAGTTGATAGTAATGTGATGTTTTTTCAACAATATTAGTGTCATTTTATAGTAAAATAATTAAATAAGCTTTATATATTTTCTTTAATCATACTTGTTTAATGAAGTACTGTTTTTCGCAATTTTCCTACGTTTTTCCCGTGTTTTATCCCGGTTTTTTTTACATATGCTGGGAAAACTCACGGGAAAATCGAAAAATGTCCTGTTTAAAAGAACCCCCTAGTGAAATTTCCTTTTAGAAACATTGCTATCATTAAAAGTTCGAGTTAAATTGCTGGCTGAACATTTGTGTACAGGGAAAAAAAAAAAAATACTAATATTTTAGTAATAATATATTTCGTACATTTTCCCGTTTGTTTTTTCGGTTTTTTTTTTTTTTTGTAAATTTTACGAGAAAATTGTTAAGGAACTCGAAAAACGACCCGCCTACCCCTTAAAGTACCTCTCCCCACCGTTTTCCTATCACAAAAGTGGCTACACGTACTTACGTATCTAAAACACACTTGCAGCAGATTAGCGGTTTAATACGTATAAAATACATATGCGTTTGCGCTGTAATAATATTGTTATTATTATTGTGTCGCGTATACGGTTCGCGCGATACACAAGTCCGGACCGGGTTCCGCGCGGTTATTAGATTACCGCGGGAAAACGCGAAACCATAAAATGTATTGCGACCCGGACAGTTTATACATACGGTACTTATTATAGGTACGAACGCTTGTCTTTTGAGACCGGACGCTATAATCTCGTTACAGACCGCAGCCGCGCAGACGACGAAGACGTATCGGCCGGTCCGGGCCAATTTCGGTTCACGTCGACGTCCGCGTCCGTCGGAGTCACCAACTACTATTGACGTGCGCCCCCCGCCCTCTCCCCGAGTTCCTTCCGGGAGACATTAGTCCGTCCGATATTATGTTACCAAGATACCGACGCTCCGGGGAAGAAAAAAAAAAAAAAAAAAAAACTATTAAGTAATACAGTGATATATTTTTGGTTGGAAATAACAATAAGTGTAAGTAAAATATAGAGAAAATATCGTTTCCTTCTGTGACTGCGCGCGACATTTGTTCGCGTGAAGAAACGATACGTGTTTTGATAATTTATTTCCATAAAAATTGTACATATATTATTTTTTTTTCTGATCACCAAATGCTACTTCTGTTAAGTCTAACAGTCTATCCATAGAAACCTACCGAATACAAATCACGTAAAAAATTCGCAGGATTAAAATATCTAGAATGTTATCAACGAACTTCTAGACCGTTTTTAAATCGGCAATATGCATATGATAAAAAAAAAAAAATAAATTGATAAAATTAGATTTGTTCCACAACATTTTTTACTCAACGATTTTCGTCAAAATTTGATATTAAAATACTTTTTTAAAAAAATTACTACATTGAACTCAAATTTTTATTTTGAACACAAAGTAATACTCTCGATGAATCTTCTGTTAAATTATCATGCATTTTTGTTAAATCTAACAATTTTACTACACCGTACACCTACCAAATAAAAATTACGTTGAAAACTCGCAAAATTAAAATGTCTATAAATAACTTAAAAATGGCTTAAATTTTTTGTAAATTTTATCACGTCTAGAAGAGGAAAATTTAAATTTTCTGTCGAAATTTCATGTTTTTACGAATATTTTAAACTAAATT